AGTTGTACGTGTTCCTAAACCAACATTGATATTCCCAAACCCACTTCTCAAGAAATATAAATGCGCTATAGATTGGGATAAAGATGAGTTGAAAATTCCTTTCAATGGAAAGGATTACATTATTCCGGTTACTATGCACAAAGTCAAGAATAAACTTGAAGTAAATTGCGCTACTGCATCTCAGGATGATAAGCCTTTGGTATCCGATCAAATTTCTCAAGAGACAGATAGTGATAAGGATGACAGTATATCATTCGAAAAGTGGCACGCTCTGCGGATTTTAGCCCAGATTCTAACGATCCGTTATTAAAAAAAAACGCATGAGCTATGAGGAGTTAGAAAAATCACTATATGAGGTACTTGCATCCAAGGTTAAATTAATTGAGCTCAATAAAAAGTTGCAACTTCATATAAATAATCCTGAGAAAGTTGCCAATAGTGATATACTATGCGGGATACAAAATACTCTAGAAAAAGCAAAGATTGATTAGTTGGAATTTGCTGAAAGCAGTCACTTCGTGGCTAAAATTTTTTCTGATTCGCGTTCATATTCTTCTGTTTCTTTACGATCACGTTCGATTAAAGCATATAGGTCATCTTTCTCTCCCACTTTTTTTGTTATAATTTCAGCGGTATTAACTATCCACTGTGTGACCTCCCCCGGCGATAATATTAGATGGGTCAGAAATTCGATTAGTCTTAGATCTCAGTTTTTTTCTCTTTGTCTGTATACCCGAAGTAACGATAGGAGTTTCTACAGAATGTGTAATGTGATTTATGGATCGAGTTTTCATGCTCATATCAGTTGTATTGTCTCCACCAATATTTGATTGCGACATCACTTCCCTAGGATCTATTGGAGGATGGGTTTCCCTCCATATTTGATATACGCGCCTTGTTGATATTTTATATTTGATAGCCATGGCTTCTGATGCACGTTTCATCGAATTTCTGGCATTAATGATATCTTGTATATTATCATCTGATAAAGGAGTTGCATC